CAGGAGTTACTCATTCTCGCGGTCGTAAAATACCGGAGCGATCGCGAAGACTGAAATATAATGTCAGTTATAGATTCCGAATTATGAAATTGTGGTAATTAAATTTTCGTAAAGTAAATGAGCGTGTAGAGGGACGTGAGAAATTAAATTTCTTAAATGGTAACAGACGTGAACACGAGACGCTAACGTAAAAACTGTAATATTGTACACACGAGTCAATTCCAACGAGCATTTTCATGCCATTAAGCTTAACGATTTAATTAGGTAATGATAAATTTAAAAATGAGAGTGAGAGAATGAAAGCGAGCGACTGAATTATCGAATGAGTGAGAATGTACACAAAATTACATGAGAAATTATGGTGAACGGTAGGGGAGGGGGGTTGATGGGCGATGGGAGGGGGGGGGGGGGTTCAAAACTAAAAACAAACTTTCAATCACTGTTAATAAATTGTTCAATCTCGATCTTATTAATAATTAAAAGCAATGAGGCGAATAAACGCATAGTTACTACTACATATGAACTTATAATATTATTATATTCATATTTTTGCTTATTCCATAAGTATCTATTAACAAAAGATTTAGCGATTTTAAAATGCCAGGAATGAAAGAGGCTGGCCGCTTTTTCTCTTGCCGGCGCTGCAGACGAATAAAATTCAACCGTGTAAGATTTAAGATTTATCAATGAAATCTATATTTTTATTATATTTCTTAGATATCAGTGTCTGCACACCAAATGCACATACACTGATAATTATTTCATAATAAATTAACGGTTCTAATTTTCTCAATAAAAATTTCCAATTGTCATAATAATTCGATCTTAGTAAGCTACGAATTTAGTAACTATTCTCTTATCTTAGAAATACCAAAACTGAGATCTTACAAATGTTTTTATACCTGTTTAATGCTTTTATAGTTTATATACCGAATTTTTCATACATTTGGATAAATTAATTAATTCCTTCAAAATTTTTGCTTGAATAGCTTAACGATAAAAATAGTTGACAGGAATTTAGAGAAATATACATCTCGATATATCTTAGAGCAGTAAAGAATAATTTTATTGCTATAAAAGAGTAGTGTAAGAGAGTTTGAAATTATTAAAAATAATATACTTAATTTTCAAATATTCCTTAAACTATTGAATTCTTATAGAAACTAGTTGTCTAGGAAACGACTGATTAATTTATTAATAAAATAATTTTAGTCTATTGCTAATATATATCGAAAACTGGTTTTGGCATATCTAAGATATCCAGTATCACTAAAGTGCTAAACAACAATTTTGATTTTTAATAAGTAAATGTAATTATGAAAAGGCTATACAATATAAAATAACCCTATTTTATCGTATAATAGTTTATTTGTAAAATAATTTTGATTTATAAAACGTCTTTTATTAAATTTTTGTAAATCTTATGAAGATGCTTAACTACGAATTGCAGCTCTGGCTAGCGAAACTTTTAGAATAAAATCATAAAGAAAGCCCGACTTTTAGTATTAAAAAGTAGAAGTGAGAGTACCGTCATCTTTCTGAAACTTATAAAGAATAACTATTAATGCAGTATTTTTTACCACAATCTGAGCCCGAAGTTACGCTCGGTTAATGTAGACAGAGAAAAACGATATAAATGATCAAAAAAATAATATAGTTTTCCCGATAAACTCCAATCGTATGTAACGACAAATAAACGTATTATCCTAGAATGTAGTAAAAGGCTAGAGAGGAGATGAATAGAGAGAAACAGAATGAACAAGAAATATATCAGATAATGATTCGATGAACTAAGCCGATAAGCTCATTTAATATTTAATAAGTGAGGAAATGCCGAATCAGTTAAAAAAAATTGCTAGGATAGATGCTTTAAAAATACATCATTTAAAACGTCACTTCGACAAAAATTAATTCATGATAAAATAAAAAAAAAGTTAATACAAATTATTCTTAAACATAAATTTATTAACGAATAAAGGGAAAAGAATTTTTAAATCTACGTAAAAAGCCAAGAGTTAAAGATGATTAGATAATAGGAGTCGCATGGCCTAATGCTGCCACTTTAATTACTAATTAAATAACTAATTATAAACAAAATGATCAGATTTTATTACAGCTCTACGTATATAAATAAATGAATATATATATATATATATATATATATATATATATATATATATATATATATATATATATATATATATAGCTAAAAATATATGAAGCTAAGAAGCTAAGAGTTTCTGGAATGGTAAAAAATGTTTAAGTATGAAGCTATTGTGAACAACATGAAAGAGAGAGGCGGATAATCAGAAAGGCAACGAAAGAAAGAAAGAGGAGAGAAGAGCGAGAGAGAGAGAGAGAGAGAGAGAGCGAGAGATAGAAAGTCAAGAAAATAATAAAAATTTGATTAATAAAAATAGGAAACAAATGTATTTCAACTTTTTAAACTAACTTTTTAGTATCAGAGACGAACAGTAGATGAGAGAAAAAAATATTATAGAGATTGACTATATTTACATTACTTCTTCGAGTCAGAAAGAATAAGTGGATAATTTGCACTACAATTCAAATTTCCAATGCCCAGTCTCCAAGAATTTATATTATAACCATAATACATAATAAAATGATTCACCAAACGAAGTATCGAAATGGTCGCGTCTTTTCATATTCTTCTTTTACAATTTTAGCAAGTTTCGTCGTATTATTAAGCGAATGTGATTAGAAAGAAATTAAAGAATAAATCGTAATAATGTGAGAGAAATAAAACCATGAAAATAATGCGAAAGAGATGAAATGATCGTTCGTTCCATACCCCAATTCACATCCGTTTGTCCGTCCGTTTGCGTCCAGTTTTGTCTCTATTTTTCATCCTTTTAGAGACAAGAAAAGCCCCTCGCAATTCTCTCGTATTATTACGGATTAAACGGCCAGGTCGTTAACAAAAAAAAAAGAAACAAAAAAAAACGTTAATTAACGAGATAAATTCAACGCGTTTCTTAAGTTTTCATTCCAACGTTTTTTTTTTTTTTTTTTTTTTTTTTTTTTTTTATTATACAAGGATATAATTTCTACTTGAGATAATAAAAATTTATTTATTTAAAAAACAAAAAAAAAACGTATAAAGGATAAAAAGGATACATTGCAAAATCGACATAATCATCAAACATTGACTTTTTCGACACTTCGTGCTTCGATATGTCACCCCTTCACATCGACTTTCCACGAGCGAGTTTCTTAATTGTATAAAAGTTGAGCAATGAAATTCCATAAAATAGGAAAAAATTTGAGTGCAAAAGTGCAAAATGTACGAACGTATAAATGTATGGAAGCTTGAAGCAAGATAAGGAATTTTAAGGGTTATTGCGAGAAATATGTAACTTCCTCCATGAGGAAGGCGGCCGATAAATATAAAAAAACTAAATAAATAAAATGAAAAATTCGAAGGTCGATGGGAAGCTCGGCGTGCTGACATTAAATTACTTATACGCGCTACTTTCTAGTGCTGATGGGAAAGAAAATAAGCGAGTAAATACGAGTACCAATGCTCCATCTCTTTTAATATTTTTATTATCACAAGCGTAATGTTCATTGCGAATCTTATTACTATTACCTATTTAATTAAATAAAGAAATAATATTATCAAAGAATAAAAAAAAAAAAAAAAAAAAAGTAAAAAAAGTAAAAAAAGTACTATACCACTATTTATTATTATTTAATAACGACTAACGTTCAACTAATATTGTAAATATCAAAAATATTTTATCTATATATTTCCGATCCGGGGGCGGGCCGGACGGGGCGCGCGCCAATTTACCTCCGGCGGTGCCCGTTTTTTCGCTGATAATTATATTTAAGTGTGGCGATCGTCCCGCGAAGTTGCCACGTGTCCGACGCCCCCATTGTTACACCATTTCATCATTGCATTTAATAAATTATATATTTATTGACTGATTTACCTTTTGTTTCGGCAGCCTCGACAAGCCCCCATCCCTCAACTTTCCTCGTTCGCTCCAATGGCATTGCCATTGCCAATGCTTTTTTCTGCTTTTTTCTGCTTTTTTCTTTTGTTCAATGTCCGATTACAAATGCACTGTATACATTAATTCGAATTATAGACATTGTAACCTCGACATTTAACAAATTTATAAGAACGAGCTATTTGGCTCACTTGAACACGTTTTTCGTTTATTTGAATGAATTTTTTTTTTTTTTTTTGTTTGTTTTTTTGTATTTTTTTTTTTTCATTCGGTCGTCATTGTTCGTATTCCGAGTCTTTAATTTCGTACAACTAAAGTTCAATTTATACATACATACATACACACACACACACACACACACACACAGACGCATAAGTATAGAAAATTTCTTTTAATAATATACTTTCTTTTAATACTCATTGTTCAGGAAAATACGAAATTAACGTGTGTTTTGATAAAGTGGAGCTATACAAGCAATACATTGTTTTTAAATATATTATTTGCTAATTTCTGCGAACGCGCCTGCGCACAAGTGCGGCACGCACGCGTGAACACACCTACGTATAGGATTTAACGAGGGTGCGAATGGAAAGGTAAGAAAAAAGTATTCTAAACGACTTCTCCCGCAACGATTTATTTAAAGCATACAAACAGTACAAACGAAGTGTCGTCATCATTTCTCAAGTACAAATAAAATAAAATTATATGTGTATTTATGCTATATTTATCGAATGCGCATATGTGCGTCAATTCGGGCGAATCCCGATTATAAAATTCTTCACTTCATATTCATAGAAAAAAAAAGAAAAAAAAAAAAAAAGAAAAAAAAAAGAAAAATAAATGAAAGAAAAATAATTGAAATAAAAGAAATCATTTTAGTAAAACGACATGAATAATCTCTCTTATCGAGGTGTCCTCGTACATTCAATATTATACTATAGCTTTTCTTCTTTTCTTTTTTTTTTTAAACTTTAACTTTATAAACTCAAAAGGCAAAGGACGGCCTACAGTCAAATGAATGTAGGTAGGTCACAATGATAATATTACGTCGTGACATTCCAATAATCCAGTCAGATAAACTCCCGTCAAGTTCTTACATCTCCCTCGTCATGAAATGCTCGATCTCGAAAAACGTCGACGAAATCGATAATACAAAGGACACGGGCTGTTAGACCGAAACATTCGACTAGAGGCCAGCCTTGTAATTAGAATAGTAAATAAAAATAGTAATAGTAGCGGTGGTAATAAAAGCAGAGAGAAAGTATGACTGATAAGAGAGTAAGTGAGAGGAAGAGAGCGAGAAGCGGTACGCGATCGGCAGATTGTGCGACGGCGATGATCGGACGCTCGTCGTCAGAAGACCTGAAGCCGATGATTCTCCCTGTCGCAGACAACGATATTACCGGCCGAGGTGACGGCAACGCCCTCTAAGCCCTTGAACTCGCCGTCGGCGCAGCCCCAGTTGCCGAAGGCCTTTAAGAACACACCCTCGGGCGTGAAGATCTGGATGCGATTGTTACCCGAGTCGGCTACGACGATGTAGCCCTGATCGTCAACGGCCACGCCCCTCGGGAACTTGAATTGGCCGTCGTCCGAGCCCTCGGAGCCGAAGGCCGTGAGGACGCGGCCGTTCACGTCGAATATCTGGATTCGGTGATTGTTGCTGTCGCTCACGATGACGCGATTCGTGCTGCTTACGGCTATGTAGTGGGGGTGCTCGAGCTGCCCGCGACCCGAGCCGCAGCTGCCGAACTTGCCGACGAAGGTGCCGTCGGACTGGAAGACTTGGACCCGGTGATTCTCCTTGTCGCAGACGTAGATGAAGCCAAGCGCGTCGGTGGTGATGCCCCAGGGGTAGTTGAAGCGCCCATCCGCTGTGCCTTGAAAGCCGAAGGCTCGCAGGAAGCGGCCCGATGGATCGAACACTTGGATCCGGTGATTATAGCGGTCGGCGATGATGACCTGGCCGATTCGGTTAACGGCTACGCCGGCGAGGCAATCGAATTCACCACCGCCGCTACCGTACGAGCCGAATTCTCTGACGAAGTTCCCGTTCCCGTCAAACACCTGCACACGAATTACCAGGGCCATCTATTTACTCTTAGTATCATTAATTTACATTACATTTACATATGCCAGTGGATTTATATTAATTTTTTTTTTTTTATTTTTTATTATTTCTCTCGCTTACTTGAACGTTGCGAATATGGTCATTGTCATTCGCTCTTTTATTATTATTGTTTTTTTTTTTTGTGTTTTCTAAGCTCACTTACATAATTTTTCTTGTCTTATTGTTTGATAATCAATGGTGAGTGGAATAATTTCTGGTATAACAATCTTCTTTTCGACGATAAATTCACTTGGCGGTAGACGCATAAAAACCAATACGTATAATCTTTATGGATTTATCATGAAATACTAAGTTTCACATAATCCTTAACGTGCATTTTTTTATTTATTTATTTATTATTTCGTTATTTTTTTAATTCATTACTTATTCACCCCATGTAGTTCACTGCACATTTGAAATAAGGTTTTGCTTTAGTTTTTACCTAAAGCGTTTGTTTGTTTACGCTCGGCAATAAAAACCTGTATCATAGCTTACGACGGAAATATTCCGTGAGTTGTTAGAATTTGAAGTAAAAAGGAAAATGTAATGAATGTCATGATGTAAAATGCGATATATACGTACTTGCACACGATGATTGGAGCTGTCCGCCACGACGATGGAGTTGTCGGGGCCGACTGCAAGGCCCCTAGGCCAGGTGAAGCATCCGGCTTCGCTCCCCCGCATCCCAAACTTAAACAGCTGCTTACGTTTTAGCAGGTATTGACTCCTTAATAAAATATAATTTTATTAATTTGCACAGTCATTCGGGCAAGGTTAGTGAATAATTAGTTGAAAGTAATTGCCGCGGAAGTAGTGATGAACAAACGCTTGAAATTCGTTTAAAGCCCCTGAAAAAAGGAGCTCTATATTTATCAGAGGTAAGCAAATAACGATTTCTTAAATAATTGGAAAAAGTCGTTAGACAAGACTCGAAGAGCACTTGGTCTCTTCGATTTAAAAAATGAAACTCAGCCACGTCAAGTCTATTGCTTTGCGTAAAAAAATGATAAAAAAAAAAAAAAAAAAAAAAAAAAAAAAAAAAATGATTTGCATGATCGGGCTAGGCAAAAAAGAAAAATAAAGAAAGCAAAAAAAGTACTCTGCCACGCGTTATATGAAATTAGTAAAATAAGAGATGTAAAGCTCGAGGTAAGGAAAAAGGGATATACAGTCGCGGGAACGAGTAGCAGCGTTTGCGCGGAGATTTTGGCACGGATCCCAAGCTCCCCGTAAGGAGGAAAAGAGTATGGCTGACAGAGAAGGGACAACTGTATTTCGCGCTATCTAAGCAGAAATCCATTTGTCCCCAAAACGTTCGTTCCATCGAGATTAGATTTCAAATTTGATTAAATTTGATATTCAGCGCTACATGCTTGTACTCTAGCTGCACACTCACAAGGTCGCGACTCGCTTTCCGTATTGCGCAAGTATTTTTTCTGTTCCCATTTATTTTTCCAGCTCCGCAGCTAAAATGATTATCGTATTTTTATTGGGCGAGGGCATTTAATGCGCAATATTACCGGGCGGATTGGGAGGGAACCGTTTGGAGGAAACGGCTCAATAAAGGAATAAACAAATCTCTAAATAACGATATTACGTGAATGGGAAATTCATCGGATGCGATCGTTAATATATATATATATATATACACACACATACGATAATTAATAGCTCGTGTGAATTTGTTTCTTACGGCTAAGCAGCCATCGTCCGTAATTTTTCCAAGAAAAATTATTCTTGCTTAATGCATCGGTACAAGTCGAGTCGTTAAAGACGCAGAATAAAACAGACATTGTAAACTGCTATATTGCAATTAGTAGTCGACAGTCGTACAAATACATAAAATAGTTTTATCGTTTTGCTTTGTTAAAAGTAGCCAGGGCTCTTGTTATCTTGGAAAAGAATTTAATTTACACGCTAATGGGGGCTCGCGTCCTGATAAAAATCACGCAATTAATAATTGTAGCGAGACACGCTATTTATTGTATAGAGCGCTTGGCAAAGTGTTAGTAGAGAAAAATTTAATCAACTTACCTAGTGGAGGAACCTGCTGCCGCGGGTATAGCGGGAGCTGCTGTAGGGGACGTGGGGGAGCCTGACGGGTTTTTTTGATCGTCGTCAGAAGATTCGAAGGAAGCTTGGCCCGTGTGTCTGAGAGGAAGGCCTAGGGATAGTCTTCGCGAGGTTGAGCTCGCGCTGCTGCAAAATTCATGTAGATATTACAAATTGGCTCGTATCCGTGACTGCTTTTTTTGTGTGTGTTTTGTCGTTGCTGTTGTTGTTGTTTTCTTCTTTGTATGTTTGTATGTTTGTATGTTTGTATGTTTGTTTGTAGTTGTCGTTCGTCGTCGTTCGTCGTTCATCGTTCGTCGTCGTTGTTGTTGTTTGGTTTATTTTTTGTTTTTCATTTTGTTTTAATGCCCGTTTACATTGTTAACGGATAAGTATAGCGTGAATAAAACGAAAATTCAACTACACAATGGTTTTATTTTTCACACAATCCGCTTCACATGTTAATACAAATAAAGGACACTATTGCGGCGATTGAGAGCCGGATTGAAAATTTCACTCGTTTGATAGTGGAGACCGAAGTGTGATATGAAGCTCGCGCAAGAAATCTTTTAGCAGCATTGTTGTCGTGTCGTTGTTGATCCTTTCACGTCGCATTCTGCTTTTGACAGATTCGTACAATATAAGTTTTTATAAGGTATCATCTGTATTGTGTATAAGCAAAGCTCAACTGTAAATATGTTTGTTCTCTTTCAATCGAGGCTCATCGCTTTATGAGTAATTTTGAGTTTGATTTTAGTCTTCGGTGTGAAAACATCAAAGCGGCAAAGACAAATAGGGTTGTTAAGTTGGGAAAGCTCGAAACGATAATCCTTCACAGGGACACTCGGTAGGTTCTTACCACACGCGATACTTGTTTTCGTTCAATGTTTTAGTTACGGCACTGATTTTATCTCCCAATCTTCTAGAAGGAAATATTGTTTGCTTTTAAAAGTTGTCCATTTGCATGTAATAATAATATTTAGTAGTATGACAAAGTGAACTGTTAAACACGCATTGGTGAACATTATGTTGAAAATTATTGGTAATGTGTGGATAATTGTTTTTTATTTCACTGGTACACTAGGGAGTTTCTTACCCGCCTACGCGATACTTGTGATCTTTCAATGAATTAGCTATGGCATTGATTTTATCTTCCAAGCGTCTAAAACGAAATATTACATCTGTTCTTAAAAGTGTTGATTGGCTCGTAGATGCATGTAGTAATAAAATGATTAATTAATTAATGACGCTTGATGGGCATGTGTAAAAGTTATATCGATAATGTATTATTATTTTTCATTTTATTATTATTTTACAAATTAACGCCAACTGGTAGGTATTGTTCTTAGATTATCATCATTTATGAATTTTGATTGCTTTAGTTCACATGCTTGAAAACATTTATAATCTTAATGCCTTAATTGTAATTATAGGTTTTTTTTTTCTTTTCTTTTTCTTTTTTTTTTCCTTTTATCAAAACAATACAATAATGTTGTAATTTATTAGTTTTTATATTTGCCGTCTTAGTCTTCTACAAAAATAAAAGTATAGATTACGTTTATGGTATGGTGACACGTTGATATGACATTAAACAATCTAACAAAATAATAATACACTGTTGGAAAATGATGATGGTGTTAAATTTGTTATTATATCGTTTGCGAATATCCGTCTGGTTTCATTACGTAAACGTGACTCGTATCGATGATCATTCATTATATTCTGTAATGATATTAATCTATAACAACACTGACACGATGTATGTTAAATATTAGAGAAAATGAAAATCGCATAAAAATAATAAAAATTAATAAATTAGTTGCCGTGTTAATTGAAGATAATCAACAAAATATTACTTTCTTTTTTATTTAACGTTGATAAGTGTTGATAAGTGAAAGACTCCACGTTTTGTTTTGTTTTTTCTCAGTAACATTTTATTCAAATTTCGTTTTAACAGTTTATTATAGCATTGAAATAACATTAAGTCTCTGTTATAAGATTACATTAGAAGTAATTATTTTTACACGAGGAAGTTTAAATACAACATTCAACTTCAACGATGTCTTACTTTAATTCATTATTTTGTGTGTCTGAAAAGTGATAAAATATGTGTTAGAATTCATCCATTTTTCCAACCGTGTAAATAAAAGCTAAGAGTTGTAATAGTAAAACGATACTGTAACCGGTTTAAGTACACAATCAATTATAACCAACGAGTCGAATTTTATTTTGCTCCTTTAAATATTCCAAAATTTGACCAATTATAGTTATCTTATTCGACCTTCATAATTTGTATTGCTGCGCATAATGAGCTTATCCCATTTTTATCCTTTTTTTTTTTTTTTTTTTTTTTTTTTTTTTTTTTTATTTCTTATTGTTTTATTTAATATTTTACTCACATTACTTAATTTAGTCGGAAAGTTTTGAAAAAAAAAAAAATAAAAAAAAAAAAATAAAAAAAAATTCTTTTCCATTTGTCGGTAACGGATAGTAATATAAAGATAAACAAGCGAATTGATATTTTCTGAGATCAACGACAATATCAGACGAGCGAGTGTATCATTTAGACGCGTTACTCTGTTCGATATATCGAAATATAAAATATAAGTATGCTTCGTTTTACGCAGTTTCTTCGCCAATTACCTGTTCATCTAGCGAACAAGAAACGCAATTAATTATTTGTTATTACAAAATTTTTATTATTTATTTTATTTGTTTATCAATATTGTTGCTTCTAAATCTCGAATGTCTCAATCAAGTGTATTTGATAATAATTTGTACTTTGAAATTTTTATGTATTCGGGAGGTAAGTGAATGGCCAGGAAGAGCATACGTTATGCATTATAAAACGGAACTCGTGTCCGATGTTTGTGTCGATAGAGGCTGCGAGCGGCTAATCTCTCGCGAGGCTAATCTCGTTATTCCGTGCACCAGGTGGTAATTGGATGTTGGCCGTCGGTCGAGCCTCGGCATTACGACGAACAAGATTACCGAGACTAAGATTCTTAAATGGAGCGAATAGCAATGAGAAGCACGGATTGAAGAAGTTTTGCCGGAGCGGCGGCGATTTTGGAGTCGCCGAAGGTTAACGGCAGCTCTGGTGGATCGCTCGCACCCCACCCACTTGCCGGCCCGTCATAATCCGTAGATTATCTTCGGCATCCGATGGCGTCGAGCGCCAATAAAGAACGTTACAGTATCGTGACGCCGAGCCTCGATGTTCGCAGGGCTGCGCTCGCTTCGATTATATTTTATTCGGCGCCTCGTGAATTTACCTGGATGAGGGCATTGCGGAGACCGAGGAGGGCGGTTCCTTGTCCTTGGTCGATCGGTTACCGTACTTGTTTTTGAGGTAGCGCGCCCAGGAGCTGAGGGCGGCGCCGTCTTTTTCGGCGCCTGGACGCTCGCGGTCGGGACTCGGTTCCCGGGACTTGAGCACGTGGGTGCTGCGACTCCTGGCGAGCTCCGAGCCCGGCCCGTACTTGGCCGCGAGATAGGCGTTCGGCGATTGGGTGGTCGGAGAGGGCGGATCCTCCTCGATGTCCAGCTCCTCGCCCCCGAAGTTGTGGCTGCTGCGGGAGCGGGCGAGACGCTGACGGCGCTCCTTGAGGGCGGCGTAACGCGAGCGGGGCGACGAGTCCTGTGAGGCGCTGAGGTCGAGGGGCTCCGGCGTCTCCCGGGGCTGGGACACGGAGCTGCTCGGACTGCTCATCGCCGCTTGGCTCCTGCTCTTGTTTAGGAACCTGAAACGTGTCGTTAAATGGAGGATAGACCTGGATTAGTGGGCGCTGTGCTAAGCGACGGGACGCCGAGGATACGCCGTTTCTTGCACGTCGAGCAACCATCATCCGCGCTTACTTCATAAAAAGCTCCGCTTCGTTAGTTTTTTCATCTCTGCTCCTATACCGATCCCCTTTTCTCTCTCTCTCTCTCTCTCTCTCTCTCTCTCTCTCTCTCTCTCTCTCTCTCTCTCCCTCTTCAAACTTTTCATTCGTTTACTTTTTTTCTCTTTCATTCTCATTCTCTGATTCTCTCTTTCGCTGCTTTCTTTCGTTCTTTTCTTGTTTTTTTTTTTTCTCTTTTGAGTCAATCTCTTTTGGTCCCCTGGCTCGACTTACTCTTTCAAACTGCTGCGTTACGTTTAAGCTCACGTTCGATTGGCAAGGCTTTTTTTTCGGTTTGGGGCAGCTTCGATTGGCTTTCTAGGCGCTCCTTGCGTCGTCGCGCGATTGTTTTCGACAAGTCGCTAAACCTTCGAGTTAAGAGGTCGATGGCAATGTTCAACGATCGACGATCAACGTATAATCGAACGCAAAATTTTCTGTTTAGTCGCATAAAGTTACCTAGTCTTTCTCATTACGTTCTAATAATTCACTGGCAGGTGAATAAAATTTTTATTTTAAAATTTCTCAATTTTTTATCATCTTGACGCAAGGGTTACCTTTACGGCATTATAATGACTGTTTTACGAAATGAATCGATGCGTAAATTTTAACCATTATATAAAACGTCATTTTAACAGAGGCAAACGCGGGCACGCGCACGCACAAGCACACACGCACGCACACAAAAATTTAATTTTAACCTTCATTTCATCATCGTTTTAGTAGCACTGAAATTTTGTTTACATTTATAATGTGTTGGATGAAAAACATTGGCTGCACGCTCAGTCTATCGTACTATGTGCGTCTCTGTTGTACTTAAAAACTTTGCAACATCATTATAAGAATAATCAATGAATTTAACAGGTCTATTATTAGATTTTTTTTGTTGTCATTTTAAGTATTAGCTTTAAGCTAATTTTTTTCATCAACTTTATTTCTTAATGTGTTAATTAGTACCGATACAGATGTGGCAATGTATTAGAAAATTAATTCATAACGAGGAAGGATATGAATTATAATATTATTGTTATTATGAATAGTAATGGTAATAATTATTTCATTGCTGAAATGCTGTGCTTGTGCATTGTGTGTTATTTTTTGACAATGTACTTTTCATCTAATGAACCATGAAAGTTGTATATAATATTTGTAAGTATCACCTATGTGTTATGATAAAAAAGAAGAAAAAAAAATTCTATATAACTTGTTAATGTTTGTGTTTAAACAGAGTTTTTACCTACAAGATGTTTTAAAATCAATGTTAAATGCCGAATGGCCTAATGTACAGTGTTATGATTAATTTACAAATTGACGTTAAGGAAAACAAAAATAATAAAGAAAACTCATTAGAGATATTAAAAAGTAAAGTAAGAAACTTGGAATGTTGTGTAAGCCAGGCTTAGCGCACTAGTTGTTTGGTGTGTTACGTAGCGTGTGAGGGCGAAACAAAGAAGAGAACGATAGAATCAAGGACGGTTTTGAGAGGTAAATAAATAATGCAACTTATCACGAAAATGCAGTTTATTCACTACATCAACATAGTAATGTAAGCACAGTTAAGTTAGCAAACTAGTACAAAAAACTTAAGTGACGGTAAATGATTTTAAGTCTCGTTTGTATTATCTAATAAGAAGATAATAAGCTGCCTTGACAATAAGACATGTAAAGTACTATGAATTTCTTTTGAATTATCTTATTGATAATGGATGTTTGACTTTCATTACGAATAATGTACAAGACTCTATGCTCTCTTCTCAAATAACGTTTATCCGTCAATACTGGCACGAAACATATATTTTTCACTGGCTATCGAGTAATCGAGTAATTTGGAGCAGCGTGCGTGTTTTTATATGTAAATTAATGTAGAAAAGAAAATAAAAAGAACAAAAAGAATAAAGAGAAACAAAAAAAAAAACTCAACTACAATGCTATGCACCGCGACAATGTTTAATTGTGTTTGTTTATGAGCAATAGCAGTTTGATAAACGCGAGGTTTGATAATCATGAGAAGTCGCGGAAATCGTTTTATTCATTATTCCTTTAAAGATTGACATCTTATATCACTCATTATGATAAAACATGAATATGATAAAATGCATTTGATATATGGAAAAAAAAGTGCATTTTCAATAGGAACAATTGTTCTTCGCGGTTTCATTTTTACAAGCTATCGATTTATCACAATCATTAAGATGGGGAAGACAAAATGCAAAGGCTGCGTAAAGGCAATTATCGCGATTCTATATTAAAAGTTAAAACGTCTGTTGTCATTTTGTACGTTCTTAGTTATTTCTCGTGCAAGCACAACCAAACGCCTGCATTTAACGCGCCATTAAGTGTCAACATTGTGCGCTCGTCTCATCGTCATTTTGCTCAGCTTCATCAATTCGGTCGAGACATGAGAGATCGATCGATCGAATGGGAGGGAACTCCGAATATCAGCGGATACAAAATCTCAGCCGCTTGGATTAGCGATTACATAACGGAAAACTCCGGTAATGCGTGACAATAATGACCAATCAATATGTACTTACTTTTTTTTAATAAAAAGTCAATAGGCAACGTATTAAACTAATACATTGAAACTAATAAATTTGAAATTCAATTCAAACGGTTAAAATTAGCTTTCAACATGACTCTAATGTGAAAACACGTTTGTAGTAGTCTGGAGCAAGTGATGCCATAAATATATATTAAGATGATAGGGGGAGGGATTGGGAGGAGGGGAGGGATGGGGAGGGGAGAAAAAATGTGTCAATGCTGCATGGGTGAAATGGAAAAGTAACGTTTCTTTTTAAAAACAAAAAAAAAAAAAAAAAAAAAAAAGAGAGAGAGATATTAAGAGTTAAGGCCGAAACCTTCGATTCAAGGTCTCCATGTTATCCGAGCCACATGAAATTCGAGTCCCTCCAATCCCCTTCCAACAATACACAAATAGAAAAATCTCTCTTATCTCTCGATCGGGCATGAACGTATAACCCGAGAAATAAATAAATAGTTACAAGAATTAACAAAAGTATGTCATCTACAGTGTGGGAATTGGGCTATGAGGGGGGTTGGGGGTTGGGTGGTATAACACGTCGTTAATGCATAATATCAGCGTTTGTTTGGTTGTTGTTCTTTGTTCAGTCACAAAAACAAATGGATTAGGACGCTACAACACAGTACGGAAACACAGAGAACGGTGGTTACCATTTGCATGGGTAAACTCGTATCGTTCGCGCAATCCTCGTCCTCCTCCTGACAGCGAGCGTCGGAGTCTCGGTTTAGCGGACGACTGCTCGAGATTGCGTCGCCCTGCATTGTCACTAAAGCACCGTTGGCGTCCAAGTTAGCGGCGACTTTAGTTTCGGCCTCCGGCTCCGCTGTCGACTGTTCTTCGCTGCTTTTCTTCGCGTCTATAACAACCCAGCCGTTCTCGCCGATGCTCCACTGGCCCTCCTTTAACGCTATCTCATCTAACTTATTGTTGTTGATCTCGTCTCTCTTTTTCGTATTCTCGTCGTTTGCCCGTGAGCAGCTGCTATTTTTCATTGGGCCTCGCTGCCTCGTCTCCTGGTGCATCAGTATCAAGTGACTTTCTTCGAGCCTTTTATCACTTTTATCACGAGTATCATCATCCTCGATAAATGGTATTTCGCTATTCTCCTTATCAATCTTCTCATCAACTGCAACTGATTTATCTTCATCTCCGTACTCTTCGTTCGACTCTGTCTCATCGACATTCTCACCAGCTCTTTTATCCTTCTGCAGATCTTTTACCAATTCTTCGTCTTCTTCACAATCATCTTTTGTGTCCATTAAATCTATCTTATCATCATCATTATCAACATCGTTTGTGCGAACATTTTTTTTAATTCCATTATTTTCTCTATAAGAATTAATTCTGTTGTCGTCATCGTCGTCGTAGTCGTAGTCGTTGCCTTTGTCGTTGTCGTTGTCGTTGTGCTTGCCATCGTCATCATCGTCGTCGTCATCGTCGTCGTCATCGTCGTCGTCATCGTCGTCGTCATCGACATTATCCTTATTATTGAAATCCTTGTCATTGAAAGTCGTTCTATTAATCTCGTGCCGAACACTCGTATCTAAAGATTTACTTTCAGTCTCGAATCTCTCATCGTCATTGATATTCGTTACGTTATCGTGTACAGAATCTCGCTGATGGTTCTCGAATTTGGTCTTCGAGTAGCTGCTATCGTCCCTCATTCCCTCGGAGTTCTTACATATGCCATCATTGTCCCTCTTGACGATAGCGATATCATTATTCTTATCTTCGAGCAAAGTCAAGTGGCTGTCCTGGGCGAAGTTCCCTCCGTCTACCGTGATACTCTTATTACATTCGTTATCGTTATTATTATTCTCTTTGCTTATCGTGGAGTGATCGTTAAGTGGCGCGCGAACCCCCGCTAACTTTTCGCTACTCTCGGTGCTTTGTAACAGCCGCACGGCGCTACTATCTCCGCAGTAATTATTATCATCGCTAACAACAACAATAACAGGCCTATCACGCCGACTGGCGCTGGACGAGGACGACGAGGACGACGAGGACGCTTCGCCATCGGACAGTTCGTCGCGATTATCAAGCACGACGGCGATCGTTTGCGCGATTGGATTGCAACTGTCGTTTGTCGACGAATCTGCGCTTTCATCATTGTGATCGTCATCGTCGTCATTGTCACGACCACTAATCGCCCTAGAACGATTATGACCCAGGGAGTTACTGGAATTAGAACCGAAGTCGAGAATGTTGTGATGGTTTTTTTTTACGAACCTGCTGGTGTAAGTGGGTGTAGTCGATGGTGTTGCGGTAGTTGGCGATGTCACCGATTGTGCTGGGCTGCTCCTCGGTGTCCCGTACCTAATTGGCAAACAAAAAGAGAAGACATTGCGTCACTAACCTGCCTCGCGCTCACGCGTGCGCTTGTGTCGCGGTTTTGGAATATCGGTTATAGCGCCAGACACCGCGAATCAGGGACTGACCTAGTAAAAATGGCTTTTGTCAAATTACCCAATCTTTTGTAAAGTTAGCTCAAGTAAGTTATAAGCGATTGGTAAAGTCTTTTTTTGCTTTTCTTAAAGTGCATTCGAATGGTTCGATGGCAAGTTTTTATTAAGCATGTACTACATCGTACCGATTTCATAAGCTCTATTATTGTTGTCCGACGAACGACCGGATAAACAAATTTTAAAACAAATTTACTATTCGAATCATCCGATTAATTGTGCCTTCAATAATGATGTTTTTTTTCTTTTCTTTCTTTCCTCTTTTTTTAATGTTTTTTTTTTTTCTTTATAACCGATCGTAAACTTTGAAAGTAATTTAAAAAAAATTTATGCTCCATTCATCTTGTTTGATTGATTGAAGTCTTTAACATTAATTAATGCGATTTAAAATTCTTAAGATATGACATGGCAACTGTAATGGTAATTAAAATATTGAAAAAATAACTTTTGAACTTTGTTAACTCATTCCGATTCTTTCAAATTTACCTGATTTTATTCGTAAAATTCACATTAATTTTTTGCTATTAATACTGCTTTCTAAATTTGTAACATCCAAACGAGAGAATAAAATGGCTACTTTATGTTTTTTTTTTTCTTTTTTTTTTTTGTTATTTTTTGTTTGCTTGTTTGTTTATTTTTGTAACGAAAAATTAGAAGTAATTGGAAAAACAGTTTAAAAATAAGAAAAATGTTTAAAACTGATAAAAAAATTAATGTTACATTGGGATGAAAAATAAAATAAAAACAATAATTTGTCTTATAACTGTGAGAAAAATTATAAAAAATTATATAGAACGTGAAGAAAAATATAATATAATGACAAATTCAACATAACGAAATACTCTTGAGAATAGATATAATAGTGTCAAAGCTGAATTTTCAATCACAACAGAGTAAGTTACACATTTATTTATAACTTTTTACTTCATTACATTATCGTAAATAAGCATACAATTTTCACAGTTTTAAACATTTTTACTTACAATCATCACAATTCCTTAACGAATAATAATTCTCTACTATCGTGATTTGTAAAATAAACTTATATCATATAATATATGTTTTCATTTATATTGGAATGTTTCAGTTGCTAAAAAATAGTTTCTTTAGACATTTAACAGACAATAGATTGAAACGACCGATTAATAACATTCAAAGTGCAAATATTTTTCGTATTTCTAGCACATAAGATATATACTATAATTGGACTAGTGCCATTGTAAAATGACGCTTATAGTAACATTTCTTCACTCTTAATCATTTAGTGAACAGAAAATAGTATCATCTCATATCATTAGCAAAGGTACGAATTTGTTCTACGAATTTTTCTACTTATATATCCTTCAATTTACAATAAAAATATTAGAATCTTATCGTATTTAACTATTACACTGAATACTTTGGTCACTTTTTATCGTTGAGTATTATCGTCTATAAGGATACCTTTCACAGTAATATTTTCCGCTTATTATGAAATAGCGAAGACTTAGAAAAATAACAATGATCATCAAAGGCGAAATAAACAAGCCATATTGTTTAGATAAAATATTTATTATAGCAGCATAAATATATATATATATATATATATATATATATATATATATATATATATATACTTTTTCATACATATATATATTTTGAAACATATATATATATATATTCATTTTCATACATTTATAAATTTTGAAGCATTAAATGACTTTCAAAGCCACGAATAATGTACAAAAATTCAAGCTTGCGTTATAACATTAACAATTTTACTGCACAGTATCCTTAAAGACTCAATCCCGTTATTGGGCAAATAATAGTTATTCAAGCGTAGACTATCAATTCGAGGACCAGCCTGTTAATTTCATAGTAAATATTTCTAATACTGAATAAACATTTTTTCAAATTTTAAAAGAATAACAATAATAGATTTTTATTACAAAGAAAGACCTTAGGTTAATTGCGTCATAAAATAAATGATTCGATAGATATACAAAAGGTATCTGTTAACAATCACTTTCACGATGCATTTTATATAGAATGAAACGATCTCGTTAGAGCATAAAAACGCAATCAATTGCGATGATTATCATCGAGGACATTAATGAGATTAATGAAAAATATATAAAATTCAATAATTCTGCTACCTCCTACATATTAGACTTTGAATTTACAAAAACAACTAAAGAAGGAATCTACTTCACGTTTAATTAACATGTTTCAACAACAACCGCGCCCACATAAATGCAATAGAATGGCAGGAGATAACGTAACAGTGTGATTTTGTCAAAATGTGATTATAATTATGCTCGTGTCTCCTTCTCGTATCAAAAAAATAATACGAATGAGAATCATTCGAGATTCCTTATTCTCATTAGAGTGACACATGCGAACAGTTTTGCTCTGCTCCCTTTCCCGTAAAACTTATCGCGGTGCCCGACAGTAATCGTCTTATTATCATAATGTCATCGTAACGAATAAGAACAGCGACGTTTGATTCGGGTGTGATTGTGGATCCAGCGTGCACGTCGGCTGGAAAAGCGACGCTTATCAATTATACAGAAGCTCAACGTCCAAATGTCCGGAGTCCTTATTCGCGGGCGTTAATCGTGCTGAACGACGACAGCGACACCGGCAGTCCGACAACGATTACCGAAGAGAAAGATTAAGAGAGAAGCGGAACAAGAGCGGAACAACATCGAGCCTCAGCCGAAGAGGTTCTCGAGGACGCCAATGGCGATCCTGCCCACGGCCTTCTTAATGAGCTTTCTCTTGGACTGCATGGACTCGAGTCTCCGGTTCGTCTCGTTATCTCTGAGCGCGCTCGCGTCGTCCATGGCCGCCTCCCTAAGAACGCATCCTTGCCTCGTGGTGGGCGACTCCTCCTTGCTGCCGCGCCTGGCCTCGGCGCTCCGGGCTAGTAGCGGTCCGATGTCCGTCCGCGCCATCGCGGAGTCGCTGCGCTGCTGGCGCTGCTGCTCTTGGCTGCTCATCCCCGTCGGCTGTACGAGCGACGCTGTGGCGCTCGGTCTTGCCTCCGTCTCCGACTCCTCCTCCGTCTCCGTCTCCGTCTCCTCCGATGAGCTGCTCGTCTCCTCTTCCTCCTCCTCCTCCTCCTCCTCCTCGTCCACCTCCACCCCCACCTCCTCCTCCTTTTCCTTTTTCGTCGACGGGCTAGTTGCCGTTCCCGCTCCCGTGGTCGTCGTCGCCGTGATCGTGGTGGCAGGCTTCGAGGGATCCTCTCGGCCGCTCAAGCTCGCCGTTGTTTGGGGTGGCGGAGGAGCCGCGCGATTACCTGACGCAGAAAGTAAAGGTCGGGTCGATCGTTGGCTATTATAGGCGGCGATCGATTACGTCCGTTGATAACGGATCGAGGGCCCGTTGCCGTACGGTACGCGAACATGATTCTCGCATTCGCGAACATGAACGTCAAGGGATTTTTTCCTTCTCGATGATGAACTATCATGCAATTAAGGCTGAATTCAGCACATATCCTTACTCTTTAAATACCCAACGACAACGCATTAATGTCCCTTTGGTTATCACATCTAGGATACACTCGAAATGCGCTCGAAAGCAGTAGCGATAATTGCGATATTTCTTTCTTTTTTTTTTTTTTTTTTTTTTTTTTTTTTTTGCTTTAATGCTACGATCCGATTAATTACGCGCAATGGCATGCGTAGAATGGGCACAATGCACGACTGTTAGATCCGAATGATGTGCCGTTAGTGATTATTGGATAATCGTATTAGTTGTGATACAAGGTTGGACACTAATGTTCGTGCTACATGCGCATATTAAACGGTATTGGTAGATAATTCATTTGGAAATTAATGTTTCCATAAAAAGATTTAACTATCCAAAAGTTTATGAATAATCGCGATAAATGATATGAAATCGTGGTGTAGTAACAAAAGGAATCGCGCGTATATGCCGACAATCGCAGAGTAATTTATGAAATCGCATGCAATTATATATACGTTGATCTCGAGATTCGAATATCACTTCGGTTTTCTTTATTTTACGCGCGAACAAAGATGCTAGACTTTTAAGATGCCGAAAATGCTGAAAAACCGAAATTTCCAATCGCATGATATAGACCGTTAAATGTCGAGGGTATTGTTATTGTTACTATTCTCATTATTATTATTATTATTATTATTATATTGTTGTTGTTGTCGTCGTCGTTGTCGTGGTCGTTGTTAACATCGTCGTCGTCGTCCTCGTCGTCGTCGTCGTCATCATCATTATTATTATTCTTAAAACTATTGTTATTGTTATTGTTATTGTTATTGTTATTAACCTGCGCCTAAAAAACGACTCTGGAAAGGTCTGGGTGTTGCGGTGACGGGCGAATCTCGGCTGGAGGGAATCGAGCTCGAGGAGACGGTCGGGGTCGTTGGTGTGCCGGGTTGCGGAGCCTTGGCTAGATACTTTTGCTTCATCTCCTCGGTGGTGAAGTGCGCGCCGGTACTGCGGATGCCCGAGCCCGAGGAACTCTCCGAGCTCGCGCTCGACTCCGAGGAGGCGCTACGGCCACCGGGCAAATGTGCGTCCGTTGATGTTCTTCTGCTGCTGCGCCAAAGCCCATGTGACATTCGAGGCTTCGGTTATTATTTATCTCGGCTCCCGTAAATAAGCCTGCGCAGCTTGCGCACACAGCAAGTTTGCGCGCTTATCTTTCGTTAGTTTGCACTAGATATAGATACGCTCTATGGCGTCTTACATCAAATTTGAGGAGAGCATTATTTATTTAATTTGTACTATGTTATTATTTACGAGATACCGTGGCTCTGCTCGTAAATGAGCGTGCAATTAACCAAATGAGATTAAACCCGATGACATTTGCCGCGAGAGAGGAGGGCAACGAGTGCCCCTTAATTATGACGAGAATCTTCGGGGAAATGGTGTAAGTCACCTGGTAATTGGAGTTGTCTTCCTGGACTCCTCGGAGTGCTCGCTATCGCGATTCTCCCTGACGGGGTTGTGCTGCGTAAGGCTCGTTTGCCTCTCGTCTAGGCTGTCCTGGATCGGCGAGGTGGCGGTCGGTGTCTGGGCGGCGGTCGCGGTCTTGTTCTGCTTCTTGATCCGTGATATCTCGTCGTCGTCGGTGGCTGTGGCTTGGCGTCCGAGTGTGGGCGTCACAGCCTTCCTCTGTGCCGGTTGGATCTGTGTGCGTCGAGTCGGTCCCGTTCGCAAAAAGAAATTCGTATCGCACGCGTTAGTTCGGGGATCGGCACATTGGGGCCCTGGCAATAAGTTTTGTCGTTGTCGCGGCAATAAAGAGACAGAATTCACCAGTCTAACAGTAGGCACAGATACGAGCGTCTTTTTCTCGTGGAGCTATGTTAGGCGCGTCGAGGAGGGAGGCTTTAGTTTTTATAAATTTGTGCGTATTTTATTGTTGGTGATGGAGCGAAAGGTGGGGGTGGGGGATGGGGTAGGTGGCTGATTAGAAACGTGGTGGAGTATTCTCGTTGGCGCCATATCGATCCTTACGTTTTAGCGTTAATTCAGCGGTTTAACGAGCCGCGCGTGGTCCAGGCAATTTTAATACCCAATGAGCTCTTCAACGTTTCCAGCAACGTTTAATCGACGCTCATCAATGTCATTAAGCCCGCTCTATGGCATTTTTATATGCAATTATAGGCGTCATAAACTGCAAACATAAGAGATAGCGAGCTGGAGGTGTAGTATTGGATAGTTATAATATAATTTATTGAGAGGAATAAGAAGCATCTTGCTTGACAATAGTAAAACAGGCTCGTTTCCATTGCTACTAAATACTTTAAATATAATTTATCTCAACACATAACCGATAAATGTATTTATTGCACTGCGAGCGTAGTGTTATCTAATGTATTCATAAATTGAATAAATCACAAAAAATTAGGCGCCTCAAATGGCAAAGCCAATTGTTGATCTTCAATAACTTTATTGTTGTCTCTGTTACGTTTACATTACTGTTCACATATAAATAACGACTTCCGAGCGAATTAATTAATCACTGTAAATCATTCGTCTCGTAATATAATGAAAAAATGCAAATAAAACACTTGTTTGTATACATTCGATTCAAGAGAGTTATAGATAGAGTTAGAGTTAGAGTTAGAGATAGATAGATAGATAGATAGAGAGAGAGAGAGAGAGAGAGAGAGAGAGAGAGAGACAGAAGAAATAAGTATAAAATATGCAAATGTAAAAAACAAAGAAATTGCGGATAAATTGGTTACAAATGGACTGATGCTCACGTATAAATGTAATTGCTAAAATTACGTGCGAATGCACATAACACAGCTATGAACAACTTAATTGACAAAACGCTCTTAAAAATCCGGTAATATATTAGTGGGATCCTTGCAAAAGGAGGCAGCCCCGTAAGTAGTGCCCGTGCTTGTGTCATGCGACTTGCCAAAACAATTTTGAGACGTCAATTATTATTGATGTCGTTGCAATTATTAACTGTTCAAAAAAAAAAATTTGGCCAAAATTAGCTTTACATAATTTGCAGCTCTGCGCAATATTAGCTATGTGAAAACAAAAATAAATGGGCCAATGACGTTCGTAAATCTGTTGCCGGACTTTAAGAACCAGACGACAAAACTATAATTTTCAACAGCAAGTTCTTGCAATAAGCAAGGTCGTTAGGTACAGAGTTTGCACATCATATCGTTTATGATAGAGTAGACGGCAAGAGATAGTGCAAAAAGAGTGTTTTACGTGGCCAAAAAAACCAAACAACAGTATCGTTTCGGACTTATTTTCTTGCTGTGTGTGCGCGGTCGTCGCTTTACGGTGTCTTGGCACTTTTCCTATCGGCCATAACTCGTGCCTTTCACTGTCAAAACACAAACCAGTCGTCATTTTTTTTTTCTTTTTTTTTTTTGTCACTCCTTACTCATCATCCTTTAATTATTTTTCAATTTTTTCTTTAAATGTAAATCTATGGCAAGTTTGGTCATATTCAATGTTCGATATGGGCATGATACAACGGCGTTCGTTCTTTCGTATAATTAATCAATTTATTTATATTCCATTGAAACTCGCGCCCCATTTGTGAATCACGGTGCTTTTAATATTCCCTTTTAATATCACGTGGCAAAAGTTTTTGGATCGTAACGATGTAGTCGGCGCACGAGGAAGTAACGGGGGTTCTTTCGTTATTTTTTGTATATCGTGCGCATGTATCGATTATTTTCTTGAAAAGCCATATAACATTACGATCCGTACGATCGAAGGAAATAATGAATAATGGTGTTTGCAATGTGACACGTAATTATTTTTGAGGGGACGATTTTTGTTTTTTGTTTGGAGTGTGGTGGTGATGGTGGTGGTGGTAGTGGTGGAATGAATTATGACACTTAACTGGAAAAAGTCTCCGTCAATGCAAAAGTCTCTCACGTGAAACGCCCGGCATAATTTATTTACAAGACATTCGCTTGGGTTGCGCGCACATGCTCTTTTATCCAATCGCTTTTAGCCAAACTTAAAACAAAATCGTGGTTAACGAGTGGCGCAGTAACTCCACTAATACTCCCTTCGAACAAACATCCAAACTTATAGCCAATAAAATGCCCTCGTGCCATTGCACAGCACGAGTGAGAACACAGGGACTTGTAAAGCTCCAGGCCAACAGCTTGTAAATAAATCGCTCATCTCGAACGTCCATGAACGATAAGCCTACAGA